GTGCTGCCATGTCAGTGTACCTGCAGAATTGTTGAAAAGCAACAGTCCATTTTCTCTTAAATCAACGGTCCAATTTTCAATTTTCAGTGCGGCCAGACTCACTCTTAATTTTACTCCCTACCCCAATTCACCAGGCACCACCACTTCCAACAACTACCATTTTCCACTTCAAAATCACCACCATCACCTCACCACCACAACAACAGCTGCACCACCACTGACACTGCGATGACCACCCCACGACCACAACCTACCACCACTAACATCGACATCACCACCAACAACAAACGTAACAAACAAAAAAATTTCTACCACCACAGACATCGACACCACAGGTAGCAAAACCATTATCTCAACACTAAAACCACCACCACCAGCCTACCACTCCAAAACCACAACCCTCACCAAAAAAATTCCCAAATCTACCATCAGGAACTAACTCCGCCGTTACCACTCTACACGTGTTGCTAGATATCTTTAGGAAGCCAACCGTAATCGCAGCGAGAGACAGTGAGCATCGACGTCATCAAAGCTGGGGTAGTAGCACTGTGGTAGGCCCCTATATTGCCAATCCAAAATCACATAACTGTTCAAGAGACAAAATCGTTATTTCAAAAGGTCTGACTGTTGATTTGTGATTACTAGGGATATGAATCTGATCAACTACCCGTGGTTCTAAATTTCCTTTAGACAAAAAGGCAGAAACGGAGATTAAATTAGTATGTTCTACACAAATCCCAAGCATATGAGCGATTCTTTTGTGCTTCAATGTGTTCATTATATCAACTTCCAGCATAAAATCCTTCCATGCTTCCTTTGTTGACCTCAAAATTTTTATTGCCACTGGTTTGCCATCAGGAAGAATCCCCTTGTATACAAAGTTACACCCTCCATGTCCAATAAGATTGGCTGAATCAATTAAATGGATGGAAGTTTAAACATTCAGAAAGAGAAAGGAAAAATGAAATTAAGAAAGAGACAGAAGCTTTTTTAACACAATCTAACCTGCAAAGAACTGAGAAGCTGATATTCTAAGCACATCATAGATGAACCATTTGCAGGACACGAACTCATCTCAGCTGGACACCGGAAGATGAGGTGAGCCAGGGGGTTCCTGGAAGGAAGGCGGAAGGGGAAGCGAACATCCTTCACTTGGGAGCCGAACCTAGTGTCGGCTCTACAAACGAAAGACGACCGGAATACAGATCTGGCAGCGAAGGAAGCGGCTACGACGACCATTTCTTTCGGGAGAAGAGACAGAAAGGAGGGGAAGAATATAAAATTAGGGTTAGGTTTGGGTAATTATGATTTAGAGAGAGAAGGTAGATGAAATAGATAAATTAATATCTGATTTTTGTATAAATAAAGTTTATATCTGAAATTTGAAATTGTAACTTTAAAATTCTGGTT